TTAAAGTTATTTTAACATAAACAAAAGTTAAAGTAAATCTTCAAATAATCGTAAACTTTGACATACAAAATAATCAAATTTACTACAATCAAATATTCAAAACAACATTTCTCTTAAGTTGAAATAACTATCGTTTATTTAAATATGTTATATCGACATTTTTTACAAGTTATTTTTACATTATACTTAAAGTTAAAAGAACAAATATAAATGTAAAATATAGTGTCAATAAATTAACATTTCTAATTTGTCAACAAGTAACACACGATAAATGAGTTATTTTAACTCAAAATTTAGAATGGACTTTCTGGGACATTTGAAAAATGTTACGATTAACATTTTATTTTTTACTGTGAAGTGCCGTGAGAAAAGTGTGCTCACTTCAGAAGCGTGGGAACTCGAAACTTAGTCCAGACACTGAAAGGCTAATCAGAGAAAGAAGAAGAACGAGCAGGGATTCACCGGGATATAAAGACCTAACAAGGCCGTAAAAAAAGCGATTAGAAAAGACAAAAGAGCACACAACACGCGAGCAATCAAAGAAGCCATTAAAAACAATATGAACATGAGAGTTCTGCGCTCCAAACTGTTAAAAGGGAAGATAGTAATCCATAAGATAAAGAACAATCTAGGAGAGGTAGTAACAGAGAGGGACGGAATCGCAGCGATCATTGAAGACTTCTACCGAAAACTTTACAGCCAATCAGCTCCAAATCCGAACCAGCAAGGACGACCGAGACAGACAATTCTGAACGTAGGATCCGAAGATTTACCAGACATTAACAAGTCAGAACTGGAAGCAGCATTGAAACAACTAAAAAACAACAGAGCACCAAGGGAAGACCGGATAACAGTCGAGATGCTCAAGGTTGGAGAGGAAGAATTAGAAAAAGCACTCCTGGTACTACTGAACAGATGTCTGGAAGAAGGCAGGATCCCTGACTCGTGGCAGAACGCAGAGGTCATCCTGCTCTTTAAGAAGGGCGACTGCACGAATATGGAAAATTACAGACCCATTAGTCTACTCTCAATAAGTTGTCTACTCCTTTATAAGTTGTTATCCAAAATAATAACGAATCGTTTAAGCCAGAAGCTCGATTTCTACCAACCCATAGAACAGGCAGGATTCAAAAGGGGGTACAGCATGAATGACCATATACAAACAGTACGCACACTTATAGAAAAATGCACCGAGTACAATATCCTACTGCATATGGTTTTCATAGACTACCATAAGGCCTTCGACTCAGTTGAGATATGGGCAGTGCTCGAAGCATTGGATAAAGCACGAGTTGACTCTAGATATTCTAACTTGATCAAATTCATATACGAGCATGCCACCCTGCACGTTAAAATGGAAGAGGATTGGACTACAGGTAGAATCCCTATCAAGAGGGGTGTGAGACAGGGCGATACGATTTCACCAAAACTTTTTACCTTGGCGCTGGAAGATGTATTTGGGAGGCTAACATGGGATCAAAAAGGCATCAAGGTATTTATTTAGAATAGCTACTGCACCTCAAATATCGATAAAATTAGGCTTAATCGATTCGTTTTTGCATAAAACGAAAGAATCTGGCAGAAAAATGCGGCGGTCTGCCCTGCGAAGCGAGATATTTAGCGTTAAAGTTGACGACTCTCAGGTTATGAAACCTGTCATACCGACGCGATATAGCGACTGTGGTAGCGACAGAAACATGCCCCGCGGCCACATGCGCATGCTCCGTGACCACATGTGTAGCGACATACCTTAACGCGCTCAACTTCAGATCGTTATTTACAACCTCCAAATCAACTTATTATTTACAATGTCGTATTCAGTCGAGCAAATAAATAGTAATCCATGGCTCGCGGTACAAGATGTTGTTGGCGATGCGAAGACATGGCCCAAATTTATTCGCAAGATGTTTTGGGACAAAAATTTCAAGGATCACAATAGAATGATCATTGTAAATTTTGCAATTTTAAATCACATTTTCGAAGATTTTTTGCATGATATTTTAAGTTTCACATTGAAAAATGCATACACAGAGGAGAGGAAGCGGAATATTAAGGATAGATTCTGTTATTTAAATCACGAGGTAATTGTTTTGATTTTAATTGATAACTATATTTTCAAATAAGTATTATTGTGTTTTTTATACTTTGTAGGAATTCGGGCAAATTCGACGCAGCAATGTATATAGCTACAGCGTTTATTTGCAGGAAATGTTAGATCTAAATTTCAATTCAATTAATAAATAATAAAAATTAATGTATACTTCTGAAGTTTGTGGTTTCGGTAAAAACACTTTAATACAAAGTAATGTATTTCAAATATAAAATTATCATTTATTCAAATAAAAAAAATATAAATATAAAATATCTAATATATATATATATAACATGGTATTGTAATGCAACAAATATTAAAATATGTCAGATTTCGCAACGCGGTGTATCGAACATTAATTGTAGGAATTGCGGATGTTGCAACACAGTTTCTTGTTGTTCCGATGTCGAAACGTGTCTCCAAATGTATTTACTCTGTTTGCTCGGTCTCGACAGTAGACAATGGAGGATACATCTGGGCGATAACGTCGAAGAAGATTTTTATTTTCTCAGCCCTAGGATGAGCGTGTTTGAATAGAAATTCGAATAAATATCCCTCGACATGGTGCGATCGAGTCCCGTACTTTGGAATATTTGCTCGAACTTCTCTCCAAACACGCTTGATATGCTGAGTATGGGCGCCTGTAAATTAAGATATATTTATTTTAACATATAGGTACTTGTAACTATATATTCATATCGTTAACGTTTTACCACAAGGTTTCCCGTTACTTACCAGTATCTGGATCGACGAAGTTGTAAGTGTGATTGACTGTCAGATGTTGGAAGCCCTCATTGTTAAGACAATTATAGGATTTCCAACAATCTGAAACAATCGTTGTTCCTGGCATGATCCACTCCTTAATGCATGCCAGGAGCGTTTCTTCCGTTCGATCCTCTACTGGCACAATAAAAATTTTCTTCGACTCTCGCTCGTATCCTCCAAATATCCAATTGCCTTTCAAAAGGCGACCACGGTTGTATTTACGATGGCCGATTTTTGCCTCGTCGATTTCAACGGTGCGTCCTGGACCTCCAAGTTTCTCGCTGCACTTATCGGCCCAGTACGCACAGACCTGTAAATATCAAAAATAATAATAATATATGTAGATATATAAAATTAGTGCACAATATTAAAATATATTACCTCGCGACAAAAACTGAACCAGTCGACAACCGTGGTGGAAGAAATGCCAAGTTCTTCCTCGAGGTCTTCCTGTCGAGGAGGGCGTAGCATTAGGAAACTCGCTATAATCTTACAAATTGTAGCGAGTTCCAAATTGCTATTCCCAAACCAAGTGCCTACTTTGGCACTTTTAAAAAAATTACATGCCTTGGAGACACGTTTCTTTTTTGAGGACATTGCTGCGGAATATCTTCTTTGACATCGAAACAACAATGTCCGTTTATCAATAGTTAATTCCACACCACAATTCCCACAATTAATTTTCGATGGCAACACACCGTGTTGAATTAGAAAATTTACTAATTCTTCTTTATTCGCCATTAACTGTATGAATTCGAAAAACAGCATTTTATCGAAATAATTACTTTTATCGCGATTCTTATAGGACGGTTGCACGCAGTGCATACGACACATAACAATCATAATAGTGGCGCGCTTCACTTGTTTAAAATTTCGCGAGCTACTGCAACCCGATTTCCCTCGGTCTCGCTGGCCGAGGGAGCGCGGCTACAAATTAATCCGCGGACCACCGGACGATAGCTCGAAGGGGATAACGAAGTCACTCCTCTTACCGAAATTCCCGTATCTTAGATCTTGGGCGATACCATTTGATTGGGCGCCAGGTGCGATTATAGACGCGCACCACGTCTCGATAACGTTCTCCTCCTTAATCTCGCCACAAGCTCAGGGCGTAGCTCCGCGTGAAAGGGATGAAGGTAGAGAAGGAGCGTAACGCAAGCAACACAGAAATAAAGCCGGACGATAAACAATATGAATTTGATATATTTCCTCCAATAAACACAAACGCATAAATCGTATCAGGAATCCAGGGCCGGATCCCGCTCAACTGGTCGGTATTACCGCGGCACTCAGGGCGGTCGTCACCGCACGCGCGAAGTGTGTAATGGTCACGCTCGCGAAGCTCTCAATACTACGCACGACCCCGCG